TACTTGTTACTGACTATGGTACTTGTTACTGACTACGATACATTTTGTGTGTACTTGTTACTGACTATGATACATTTTATGTGTACTTGTTACTGACTATGATACATTTTATGTGTACTTGTTACTGACTATGATACATTTTGAGTGGACTTGTTACTGACTATGGTACTTGCTACTGACTATGATACATTTTGAGTGTACTTGTTACTGACTATGATACATTTTATGTGTACTTGTTACTGACTATGGTACTTGTTACTGACTATGATACATTTTGAGTGGACTTGTTACTGACTATGGTACATTTTGAGTGGACTTGTTACTGACTATGGTACATTTTGAGTGGACTTGTTACTGACTATGGTACATTTTGAGTGGACTTGTTACTGACTATGGTACTTGTTACTGACTATGATACATTTTGAGTGGACTTGTTACTGACTATGGTACATTTTGAGTGGACTTGTTACTGACTATGATACATTTTGAGTGGACTTGTTACTGACTGATACATTTTATGTGTACTTGTTACTGACTGATACATTTTATGTGTACTTGTTACTGACTGATACATTTTATGTGTACTTGTTACTGACTGATACATTTTATGTGTACTTGTTACTGACTATGATACATTTGTTGTAGGTTTGCGTAAAGTACATCCATACTATTATACCTTCTCCACACACTGTAAAGGACGTTGGCTTGGATTGAAGCTACATGATATCTTTAAAAAGGAATTCAGATCAGAGTCACCTGAATTTTATGTAAGTGAAATTAATTTTCTTCCATGTAACATTGCATTCTTTGTTGCTGCATTTTATTAGCTCCGCTCTCGACAAAGTCGGCACAGCGGAGCTGTTCATATTACTGATTGTCTGTCGTCGTCGTCGTCCGTCGTCGTTGTCTGTCGTCGTCAACTTTACAATTTCAACTTATTCTTCAAAACCTCAAGTCAGAATGTTTTCAAATTTGATATGCAGATACCTTGGATGGTTCTTTCTCAGATTTGTTCATTTCATGTCAAAATCTCAAATTCTCTATTTTTGGTCAATATTTGTATCATTTTTTTTGCTTTGATATTGCATATATAGGCACTACATGAGGTTCTCTCTCAGATTTGTTCATTTTGTGAAGATATCTTCAATTATCTAATTTTTTTGTCATTTTTGGTAAAAAGTGATATTTTCGACTTCTTGTTAAAAACTGCAAATCCAATTGCTTT